AACTCGTTATCATGTTGGTCCCCAAGGTTGGCAGGAAGCCGTAGGACTCAGTTCTTAAAGTAGAGGGGTATAGAATAATGATGCAGCTCAGAGACAGATTCATTGCCTAATATGGGCAATACTAAGGATTTGATCCTTAGCATAGTGGGGAAGGAGAGGAGAAGTAGAAGCAACCAAAGCCACAGAAATAGGATGAAAAGGCAGGCTGTCTGCCCTCAACTTCAACAGAAGTCTACAGCTTTATTCTGTGCTCCTGTAACCTAGTCAGCAAAATGAAGAAAACACAGTTGTCTAACCACATAGTGTTGATTTGAAGATTACATTAAAACAAAACAAGCAAGCAAACAAAAAAATCCCAGAGCTATTAGTATCACAGCTTTTTGGTTGGGACAAAATTTTGTAACTACTTGCCACAGAATCTGTCATTCCCAAACATTTACCCCAAGTATGGAATATGTGGTTGAAGAAACAGGACAAGATTAAATAACCACTAATCACTTGAAGATATGAAGGAAAATTCCTATTTTTTGCTATTAATACAGCATCTCATCTCCCTTTCCCTAGGAATTCAGGATGGAATCTGTGACCTACATCTCAGAAATGGGCTACTTTTTGCAGTTAGTTTGGACATTTGGGCATTTTATATCAATTAAAATGGAAAGTAGAGCTATTTATTCTAAAGCAGTTTGCCTTCGTGACTGGGCATATGCCCATCTTTCTCTTGTGCAGCTTCCATCTAGGCCTATTCTACACTACTATGGATGGCGACAAGAGATCAAACACAACCCTTCCACAGCTTTTGGTCAAATCCAAGAACAAGTTTTTCATGGCTGTGTTTAAGTTACTCAACCTCTTTGAGTCTCCCTTTCCTCATTGTAAAAACAAAGATAGAATATTTATGTTATGCTGGGCATTGGTGGCACACGCTTTTAATCCCAGAACTCAGGAGGTAGAGGGAGGCAGATGTCTGTGAGTTCGAGGCCAGCCTGGTCTATAAAGCGAGTGTCAGGATAGGCTCCAAATCTACACAGAGAAACCCTGTCTGGAAAAAGCAAAATAATAAATAAATAAATAAATAAATAAATAAATAAATAAGAAGAATATATTACAAGGTATTGTTGCAAAAATCAAACAAAGGAGCTAACAATTATCTGTAAAGTTTCTATTCAATAACATGGCACACAATAATTGATAAAACACAAAAGAAAGAGACCAAATACAACAGGAAGACAGGAGCCAGTTTTTACCCTTTCATTCATTCCACCAATAGGTGTTTGAGCATTTACTGTTGCCAGCTGCTAGTGAGTGCCTCCGCCCTTCTGGATTCTGCAACAGCTGCCAGCATGAGCATCAGAGAGACATACAAGAGAGCATGGCATTGCAATCCAGCTATTCGCTTAATTCTGCTAGTACCATCAAAATGGGCATTATGCTGAATTTAGAGAAGAAAATGACAAGTTGTCTGCTCAATTATCACCATATTCCCTTCACTCACAGTGCAGTTACATGTAGATCATGAGTATGTACTGTTGAGCTTGTTAATCTTCTCAGTTTTATGAACCCTTGGGACACAGCTTGTGCACACAGAAACTTCCAAACACATGGCCCATTATTGAAAACACTCAGAAGCCTTTGGTCTGAAGCATTCCTGTGGTATAGAGAACATTGACTTTGGAGTCAGGAGGTCTCACTGGCTCCAAATTCTCCCCCCACCACTTTGGGCAAGCCTAATTTAGGGCAAACTTACTAATTTATCAGCCTTTATGAGCACTGGCGACCATGGTTCCCTGCAGATTTCTGCTTAGAATAAAAACACTGTATATGAAGAGCCCAACTCTACACCAAACATATATTAGGTACTCAAGGCATTCGAATTGTTTTTTCTATTCTGAACAACGGGCTTTAATGTCATGGTTTTGAGTGAGTTGTTGCCATGCCAACAAAGAATAAAGAAAACCACAGAAAATACCTCACACAGCCAGAGAGCCTTAGGAAAAAGAAATAACTTGCTTAGGCCCTAGAACTCACAATGGACAAAGCCAAGATTTGAACCAGACACACTTCACTTATAACTAAAGCAATCATGAACAAAGGCTTCTGCCATAAGTGTCTACCCAGATGCAAGTGCTCCGTTTGAACTAGGAATGTCAACAATGAGCATTCTCACACTATGATGCAGACTTGCCCATAGCCCAATAGGATAGAAGCCATTCCTCAATTGAAATTCCCTCTTCCTAGATAACTCTAATTTATGTCAAGCTGACCAAAACTGGCCAGCACAACTAGCAATTATTTGTTAAATTAATTAAATTGCTAAATGATGTAACAGACCTATGTCTCATATTTTCCACAAATTACTTCCTTTAATCCTACAAACTATCCTCACAATTTGACTTCTTATTTTACAAAAGGAAAAAACAAGGCTTAGTAAATGAGGCAATATACTTAACACTGAGGGTAACATGCCCATGTGTGCAAGACTGACTTCCCACTCAGGCTTCTCAGCGTCAAAATCACAGCTCTCTCTTCTACTGTGAAGGTCATAGACTGTAGAAGATTTCTTGATAGGGTTTGCCAGCATGAACTTGACCTCCCTCCTGTGTTTAGCCAATTCCTTACACTGTAAAACAGGCTTATATAGTCTTCCAATGGTACTGCTCTTAATATTTGACATGACTAAGTCCCTCCTTATAACTTTTCAGGAGCCAGATTAATAGGTGGAAAGTACCTTTGACTTAATGCAAATGCCCAAAGCTAAATTTGGCCATTGGAGCAAATTTTAAAATGAGATAAAGCCTCTTCAAATGGCTCAGGGGTGGAAGTCTTGAGAAGAAACCAGCATAATCAGGGAAAGTGAGGCTTTTCTAACAGTTTACACAGACAATAAGAACCGGACCAAAATGACTTATGCACAAACTGTAGCAATCGCATTAGTTCTACACAGTTGTACAGCATTTTATAATCTGTTCTTTTGCAGAGATTGTTTCTTGCACATTCCTCAAAGAGTGTAGTTTTATATATATGAAGAAACAGAGGCTGAGAAGTTGTGTGATCTACATAATAAGTAGTCCATAAAGAACATTCCCCTTAATCCAGGCTCCTGATAGATAAATGCACTCTCGCACCTCACTGCTCCCTGACTGTGTCATTTCTTCCTTCCCTTTTCTGTTTGTCCCTCACAAAATACCTGCAATTCATCACAGGGAATCGGATGTAGAAACTGTACAAAATAGCTCTAAGATGGCCTCCTCTATTTCCATGGCACTTTTATATCTTCAGACCTCTCCTCCACTCTACTTTCCTCCGAAGATCTTTCTCTCTTTGCTCATCATCTATTCCTTTTTGCACAGCATCTTTCCTGGAGATTCTGTCATGGGAACTGGTCACCCTTAGCCCTCACTGGTAAACCTACCCCTCCTGCTGCTCCTACCTCTGTGCAGCCTTTGTATGATATAGGCCAAGTGGGAGACAGATTCACCCCTGCCATATTTCAGGCTATCCCTGCTTCAGTTATCCATTTTGTTATGGTAAATTTTCAGGGATATAGAAACTATTATTTTTTAAGCAGCAAAGGGAATATTGGAAAGGCATTTTTAAAAACTGGCCAACAGAAAGGAAGGTAAAAACTGTAAAGACAGTGGTCCTAACTAATTCCAAGGACATCAGTATCCATGGTGGGCACTGAATGAATGTTGTCAAGCATGGTGGAATGCAACTGTTGGAGTATTGTTTTCAGAGTAGGGCAGGAAGTTCTGAATCCTGACCATCCCACTTGCCAGCAATGGAGATTCTAGGAAGGCATGTCAACTGGCTGGAAACCAGCAGCCACATAGATCCTGTACATTCATCCATCCCTACATTAAGTACCAGAGTCAGAACTCTCCTAAGGACTAATGATATAAGGGTGCTTGACTCAGAGACCTCTCTAAGAGTCACAGGTTCTCAATAGTCATTAAACCCAAAGAAACCAATAGTTCAGTGATTCCCAAACTTTTCTTTAAGTTAAAATCTCCTGGAGAGCTTTCTAACCACCACCTCCTTGTCCTAGCCACACTCTGCACCAATTAAATGTGAAAAATCTCATGATGGTAACTAAGCATCCACATTTATTAATGATCTCATGGGCAAAGTTTGGTACCCAAGGAACCAGCAGCAAATTCCCCCAGGCAGATGTTACCTCTGCCTCTTCACCTCCTTTCTCCCGGAATAATCCTTTTCTCATTAGTTCCAACCAGAGGACAGGCAATACTGGGCATAATGTCAGACATCATGGCTGTTTAAATTAGCAACTAAAAGGATGATGTAGGTTTGGTTTTGTTTTGTTTTTTAAAAAGGCAATCTGCACTAACTCATTGATCCCGATCAATGTGTTTGTGTGTTCTTTTTAGAAAACTTCAGGCCAAACTCTACCCTAGCTCCAGTCCTTTGGAGTTAATTCTGTGAAACTTTTTAATTACAAGCTACTGTTTTTTCTCCCCAACACAGAGTCTTCAAGGTGTAGTGTATGAGTGATAACCAGGAATCATTGTTAGATGACCCATCCTCTGTCTTACTCATGAGGAGACTCCAAAAGGACACCTGAGTTGACAGGAATAAGAACTAAAAGTAGGCTATCAGCTCCCCAGTGGCTAAGACCACCACACTCTCAGCCTCACCATTAGAAGTAGCCAGGTTTAACTTCTTTCTATCCAGATAATAAAAGCTTCAGAGCTATATTAAAGGTGGTATAGTGGTAAACAAGTGATCAGTCAGTTTCCTCCCACCAGCAGTATGTCTGGTCCTCATAACCATAACCGATAAGCAGGTTGCCAGTGCAGCCCTTTAACTGACATCAGACAAAAACAAATGGTTCTGAGCATGCTGTCAACATGGTTGACCAAGGGCAAACATGGAGGCTGTCAACATTGGGTGATCATGGGCAAACATGGAGGTTGAGCATGCTGTCAGCATTGGGTGACCAAGGGCAAACACGGTGCCATCTTTCTGTAGTGTGAACCAACCTGCAGGAGGATGGTGGTTTTATATTGACTTTTCATCAGGTTGTTGATGGATTCAAAGAGCTGTCTCATAGATTCTTCAAACTCCATCTGTTCTTTGCCTTCATATAGCCTGAAAGAAGACACATCTGAGTCATTCTCAAGCCATCTGGCAAGACATCTGAAGGTATGCATCAGCCACAACCTTCCTTTCCAATGTGGGAGATGAGGGCTTGTGGGGAGAGCAAGGAATTGATGGTGTAGCTGCCACAGAGAGGAGCCTCGGGTGCTCTGTGCTAGCAGGCACCTTTGGACTCAAAGGATGGTTATAAACCAGCCCCTCTTCCATCTTCTTCCTTTTACCTTGAATAACCACAAAGAAAGGAATGCTGTCTGAGCTGTGGATCTGAGAGTTTCAAAGTCTCCTGGAAACTCCAAGGAAAAATATTTTCAAGTGTTCTGGCCCTTTCACTTAGCCACCACCCCCTGGTCCCTTGAACTCCCACAGCCAGTTGTGGGGTCATGGCCAGTGCTCTCCTGCCCCCTCAATTCAGAAGTACACTGATTACCTATTTCAAAACAGCATTCCTCTGATTGTAGAGATCCTTTGATACCATTGTAAAAATTAATGTTAACATAACAGAAATGTATAATTTACAAAAACAGACCATTATTTATTTAACCAAGGAGATCAGCTACTCTGAACTGGTGGTGTTTGTCCTTCCAAGGACTCGGGTCCTCTCCTAACATAAACACGGTCTGCTGCCTGGAAGCCACCCCCCTCACAGAATCTGAGCCTCTTCCCCCAGCCTTGCTGAGCCCACAGCTTCTCCAAACAAGCTTTTATCAGCAAGCATGAAATATCCACAGCCTAATCTGTGGCATCCAGTGTGAAGCGCACACAAGAGCACTCTTGTCCTCAGCTCGGATAAAGAGTACCTCTCCTGTCACAGCCCACATGTCAGGAACCAGCCTGAGCCTGTTCTGGGAAAGGTGCTTTCCTGAGATAAAGAACTGACACACTTAAAGGAGTTTGATGCTCCCCTTCCCTAACAGGCCAGCCAATCACAGCCACTTCACTACTGTTGCCACTGTTGCCTCCTTGAAATCTCCACCTGTCCCTCACCTTCTTCCTACCTTCCTCTGGCTCTCTGTCTGTGTTTACCATCTTCAGCCTTTCTCTCTCTCTCCCTCTCTCTCTCTCCCCCTCTCTTTCTACTTCTTTCCCCCCTCTCTCTCCCTCCCTCCCTCCCTGTGGGTCTGTGTCTTGTCTGCCACTGCCTCTGTCTCTATCCCTCCATCCCTTTCCTCACCCCCTCCTTTCTTCTAATGTTATCTCTCTGTTTCCTCATCCCTATCTCTCTTCCTCACTTCCCTATTGGCCCATTTCTTACTCTTTTCCCCACCCATAGATGCCTTGAAATCATGAACAAAATCTATCAATGTGGTTCTTTCTGATTTGTGGCACTGAGTTTGTCCACTTCCTCTTAGCCTCATTAAAACTACTGATGGGCTGCCTAGTATTTCTGCACAGATGTGTTCTCTCTCTCTAAGGCATCCTGCCCTGAATATTTGGATATGTGATGGAAGTGGTTTTGAGCAGGCCATCTTCACGAACCCACCTGCTCCACTCACAAAGATGGCTTCTAGCCACAGTTTTTCTGCTGGATGACCTGCCCATCCTCCCTCTACTCTCAATGACTGAGGGGTCCCATCGAAATTCTTTCCCCTGCCTGTGGGATTTGGTATTTTTATTTAAAAGCAAATATTATATTTTGGGGTTTATTGGGGCTGGAGAGATGACTCAGTGATTAAGAGCACTGGTGGCTCTTGCACAGGACCAAGGTTCAATTCCTAGCACCCACAGGGTGGCTCACAACCACCTGTAACTCCAGGTCCAGGCAACCAAATGCCCTCTTCTGACCTCCACAAGCACCAGGCACACATGCAGGTAAAAACAGTCATATACAATAAATAAATAAATAAATAAATAAATAAATAAATAAATAAAT